GCCTCTTTAAAGCTACGTAAAGCTCCTGGAATTGACAAAATCCAAGCCGAATATTTGAAATATGGAGGAGACAGTGTTATTTTTCATATGTGCATTCTATTTAATAGCATTACCAAAATTGGCAAAATACCAAACGATTGGAAAAAGGGCATCATTGTACCAATATATAAAGTGGATACTAAACCGAAATATTCTCCTGACAGTTATAGACCTGTATCTCTTTTATCATGTCTTCTCAAAGTATTCGAGAAAATAATACACAATCGCATTAGTGATAATTTACTGAGTAAAGTGAAATTCCCTAATGTACAGCAACAAGGATTTCAAAAGGAACTAGGCTGTATCACAGCTGCATTTAACTTACAGGAAACAGTTTTGAACTACAATGACCATGGTAGTCCTGTCTTTGTAGCATTTTTAGACTGCAAAAAAGCATATGACACTGTATGGAGAAATGGCCTTTTAGTAAAACTTAATAAACTAGGTGTTAAAGGTCAACTTTGGTCACTTATAGATGATTTTCATATGGGCAATGAGAGCAAAGTTGTAGTAAACAACCAAATGTATAAATACTTCCCCGTCCAACAGGGTGTTAGACAGGGAGGTGTTCTCTCGGGATTTCTTTATTGTGTATTTATCAATGAATTATTAAATCTGCTTGAATGTACAGAACAAAATTTTGGTGTTTATAATGTAAAATCAACAAATCCAACATTAGCTGATGATATAGCATGTTTAGGTGCCAGTGCTACTGGTTTACAAAAAATGTTAGATTGTGCTTCTAACTACTCATGTCTCTGGCGTTTCTCTTTTAATGCTCAAAAATCCAGTATCGTCATATTTGGCAAACAGATCCCAACAACATTACAGCCTTGGATATTAGGAAACGAAATTATTCCATTAAATGACAATTATAAACACTTAGGAATCATTCAACAAAATAGATTCAAATCTATAGAAAGAACACAGGCAAGCTGTAACAAAGCTAGAAAATCGTATTTTGCTATCCGAAATGATTTGTCAAGCAATTCAAACCCAGTAACTCTTGCCAGCCTTTACAAAAAAGTAGGTCTTCCATCTTTGCTGTACGGCTGTGAACTTTGGAACAATTTAAAATCAGCAGACCTACAATTATTAAACCGATTTCAACACTTTGTTGTGAAGGACATTCAAAATTTTAAAATCAACACTCGTTCCGACATGTGTGAAAGCATGCTCGGAATCTATCCCATATCTGCAGAAATTGATAAACGTAAACTCTTGTTTTTCGGGAAGTTGTGTAACCTTAAATTGGACGTATTATCAAAACACATTTTCTTGTTCAGACTATTTGACTTTATAACGAATGAAGGAAAACAGATCACTGGTTTTGTACAGGACATCTGGCAGATTTTAGTTAAGTATGTAATCTTTTAAGCTACCTGCAGATATTTATCAACGAAGCAACGTTCCCTGGTAAATCTGCATGGAAAAACATCGTTCGTCAATCCATAAGTTATTATCAAAACGTATCCTGGACAAACAGAACGGAAACAGACAGGGACTTTATATTGTTCCGAGATTTGCATCGAAGCATCACCCCGGTGCGAATATACAAATTCGACTTCTCCTTTGAAGAAATCAAACTAATTAAATTCGTCGCAAAATTATGGACTGTTATACCTCAGTTAAACCAACATACGTGTGTTCTCTGTAAAAACATATATAGCGATCCTTTCCAACATGCCGTGTTGTGGTGTTCCGCCACAGAACATATTAGAAACTCATTTTTTTTATTTTGTAGTAAACAAAGTTGATGTTCATTTATATGTAGAACTAACTCATATGTGTGATCATGATCTCTATATATCATTACTAGGTGGTCTCCCAACATTAGCGTTTGGGGACAAGCATGAAGAAAAGGAATTTATATGTTGTTGTGCCAGGTTTATCTGTGAAGCCTGTGCATTTTTTAGCAGAGCTTCCACTCAAACATAATTTTTTGTCAGTTTATTACTGATTTTGTAAATACGTTGTGTACACCTTTCTTTTTCTTTCTTTTTTTGTTGTCAATTTAAATATATGTCTGATATAACATGATCTATAACATGTAAACTGTATGATTTGTGAAATGTCTGAAAAGAGGAAATAAAGATGGAATGAATGTACTATTTTCCGATTTCGAGATACCGAGGATGGTGCGATCGCCTCCTCTTTAATTATATACAGTAATTAAAAAAAATAGGTGAAAGTTAAAACGGAGATTCTTAAAAACGTATACACTTGAAAAAGTAAAAAAAACTAATATCTGTCTATCTATGTAAAATAATATTAGATATGTTTTATTGTATGTTATTTAAAACACCTCACGAGAATGTTTCACTCAGTTGGAGAAGCCTAGATATGTTTTAAGAAATTAAATTTTTTTCGTGAATATTGAATGAACGTAATAACTAGCTGTCAGTAACAATGTCAGAATGTAAGTTCTTCCTATAAGTAAAATAATATTGGAAACATTGTAAAAGGGTAAATTACTATTAAAAACATTAAAGAAAGGTAAATTTAAGCAATTAAGTTAAGAGAAGTGAATTACTATCGAAAACATTATGTCACAGTAAATTACCAACAGGGCAACTGGTTCGTATTTTTAACAGCATTATGACTTCATCGTGTATGAATAATTAACAAAATTATCTGACCCTAAAATACAACTTTAAGTTGTTAAATAAATTGATTTATGATAATAAACAAAAATCTTAGGTTTGTTAACAAGAAAACTGTCAGGTTTATGGTTTTGCTAATGAACTTGGTTTTCTTTTCAAAGAAATCAAAATAGACTTGAAATCAGTTTGATGTATCATATTGCTGTAAGACAGTCAATAACATCGATGATTGAATGCATATCAACGGCATCAATAAATCAATACACAAAACATATTCATGAAAACTAGTTTTCATGCCCCTGATATACCTCTTAGTGGATGAAACAGAACCTCACTTATACGTTAAATTTTAATGATTATGTGGGATTCAACAATAATGAAATGCACTGTATTTAAAAAAGCATTAAATTATACCATTTATCCATAGAAAACAAGGAAAGAAGTCTCAGAATAAATTTATATTACATCGGTTTGAACAAAAAATAGTAATTTTTAAGGGAAAAATTAACAAATTTCCTCTATAACTCAGAAACTAAATCTAATTGATGGATAAGAATTGTTTTATAACAGTATAGACAGACAAAACTATTTTGACCTTCGATAAGTAGCGTGAACCAGAAGTCTTTTATTGAAACCAGGAGAATGCTGTGGAAGATATATTTTGGCTTAATATATTCTACAAGTTCACCTATATCTATTGAAACCATATCAAAACTTTAGGAGGAAAATCATTTTCAAAATTATGTAGACGAACTACAGTCTCTTTATTATTAATACCCTCGAAAAGCATTCTTGGTCTCTGACCAATAGAAGAGTCTAAAAAATCTTCCAAAGTCAAACTAGGATAAAATCTAATATCTAAACTTATCAAATTCCTACAGAACTTGCAAAAAATATGAAAATGAATACGATATGAAAATAATTTAATTACATAATGGCTAAGTGGAAAACAATTGCTAGAGTATCGCTGTGTAAGGTTGATCCTTACGTTGCGGGTTCGAATCCTACTGACGCGGATACCGGTTCTCTGGAATAAACCGTATAAACGAGGTCCTATGTCGCAGAGGATGCTGGTATGAAAAAATTCCCTCTCTAGTCAGAGGTCGTAAGTGCCGAGTACAGTTGTAAATATGCAGCTCTCAACTGATAAGTGTTGGTGACTCAATATTCATATGAAATTCTCAGAGACGTTACACGAACTAATAAACATTTTAAAAAAAAAAACAACCAAAAAAAAACAACCCTCAAAGGACCAGTTCAAGTGTTTTTATATCACTTACCATGCAAAATATATATATATATATATATATATATATATATATATATATATATATATATATATATATATATATATATATATATATATATATATATATATATATATATAAAACAAATTTTAATTGTGTAAGTTGATTCAATAATGTTTAACACTGACGTTTACAATGGATAAATAATTAAATTATTTAGGCAACCGTTAACGACTACTAATACTTCATCATAATGGATTTAATTTCATTTAAATCTTACCACAAGATGTTAATGTTGGATTTAGGAAAAAATACTGAATTGGTAATTCTCTCATTATTTAATATAGATGGGTTAATTTATTGATTGCTTGATTGATTATTGATTGAAGTCGAATTGGCAGTATCTAGGTCATAATTCGGCGTTCAAGCAAATAAGGAAAACATTTACAATTTCCTCAACCAAAAACCTGAAAGTCTGAATTTCTTACTGAAATTATGAATTTTTAATGATAAAAGAAGAAAACTGGGAAGGAGAACATTGTAAGAAAATAACATCTATTGTCTTTATTCTTAGAAATATGAGCTTGCCAAACTATGTTCGTCAATCACATTTGGTGGAATATTTATTTTTGTAGTGCCATCTTTTTGCTGTATACCTACTGTTTTTATATTTTTTGCAAATATTGTTTATCTGTAAATTTAGGGGATCATAATAGATATTAATATGTATTTGTACGATTACCTTTTGATCTGATCCCCTATCATGTGATGTATATATTTTTTCATATTTCGTCATTTTAATAAATGACATATTTCATCTCAACAATGGTATTGATTTTATTTGATTATATCTCAGCAAAAACAGAGCTGCGGTGAGATTGTGCAGCATGAGGAAACATAAATAAACTTTAAGGAAATCTGGTACCGGGTTCATTCTTAACAAGTAAAAAATTACACTAGAGAACACTGTGTTAGGGCAAATTACTATTCAGTACATATATGGTAAGAAAAAGGTTTTTCTTTTCCTGAAAATTGAATAAGTTCGTTGTTCACTTATAAAATGACATTTTATTTCTTCATGTTGCTCAATTAATCTTTATTTCAAATTCAACACAAGATGGATACAAAAATCACTCGTACTCCTCTATAATCTTATTCCAGCGTGCATCAATGTCTGATTTTGGGATCTCCCATAGCATACTAATTAATGGCCAACCACGGGCTGCAGTATTTAGTACATATGTGTTGTTAGGATCCATATAATAGGAGTAGGCTCCCATGACCAAGGATTGCGCAATCCTTGCGCAGACGCAGGCCTTCATAACGTCCCTCTCTGTGCTATTTAAACTGCGTTCTGACAAATATCCAGCTAGCACATGTCCCCCTACATCTTTTTGGTCCATTTCATGACATTTTATGGACATGTAGGCGATACAAATAGCAACATCGAAAACCAAGTAAGACAATGCAACGTCATTGAAGTCTATAATCGCTGCTACGTCACAAACACGTGACTCTTGTGGCACGCTGTCTTGCACAGGACAATCTTGTACTATGATATTGCTCTCGTTCAAATCGCCGTGTATCATACCTAAACAAGAAGTTTGAGAAATTAAAAAAAATATCAATTTCCAAGCAATCATTAATGCACACATGTGTATTTTAAAAGCATATTAAAATAATGAAAGCGTCTGGAAAAATAACAATGGCTCGAGACCCAGCCACGATTCTCTTTCAAACCTCTATCTATAGGCATTGCTTAAAATGAAATTGATGAAAGAATAAAAAAAGACTACATGAACACCTTCAAAGTTTATCATTTCAACTTAAGTTTCGAATAACTTGCTAATACATCTGGTCATCAAACTCTTTTTCTCAGTTCCCTTTCCTTCCCTTTCATAGGACGTTATTCTTCAAATTTACCTGTAGTCGAACTACAGTACTTTTAACATTCCAGTCAACAGACGTACACTTGAATAAACACTCCTATACTAGATTCAAAAAGTCATGAAAATAATTGGATGTCTAAGAAGATAGAGAGAAAATAATGGCAAACTAATGGTAAACTTGAATATAAACATGTTAAATCAACTTTTTCTTTTATTAGTAAACTTTATGATATCATTACATGACTGAATAACGCCTGCATGGTGCAATAGCAAGTGTTTGCTCTCGAGTCAAAGAGTAAGGAGTTGATAAATTCTTACGATCTTATGTAGCAATAGCACAAAACGACGTGCATGTTTAGCGCCCGCGTGTCGCAGTGGTCCGATCGTTTGCTATATATTCATGGAGTAATGAGTTGATCCTAAACGGGGTTTCCATTTCTGAAGACTGAGACCGGTCTTTCGGATAAGATCGTAAAGTGCCAAGTGCAGGTCTAAAGTTACATCATTTATCGTCAAGTGGTAACATCTCAATTTAATCAAAAACTCTAGAATAGACATTCAAGGACAACAAAAAAGAAAACTGTGTTTTTTTCATGTAGTAATTCTCCACCACGGATGATGTTTAAAAAGTGTTTCAAGAGATCCACACAAAAAAAGCATACCCGTGGTAATTCGATTAGAATGAAATATGTCAAAAATGATTAGTTATCAAATTGAAAAGTCCATTCAAACAATAGATTATTTGTATCAGGGGTGGGATCAGATGCTTTGTAGAAGAAAGCATACCCTGTCACACCCGTCTGTACGGTTATGTGCTTCTTGTCATGATCGATTAACGGAAAAATCCGTAGACGATTCAGTGCGGAAATAGTGTTCTAACAAATTGTATAGAAACGCCGACTCAGAATGTGTGCGAAATATGACTTTAAACGTTAACAAAACAGTTGACATAATGATTCTTGTTTCATCAGGTAACTTGTTCTCGTTTTTTAGGAATGTTTTGTACATATAGTATATTGCTCTTGCACAGCGATTCAAGTGGGAGGCAAAAACCTTAAATCTAAGAGATAATTGTATATTGCTACATAAGTAAGGAATGTTGATGAGAAAAAAATTGAATTGATCACGTTTACCAATAAGTCAAGTCATGTAGTGAAGTGATTTTTATATTGCTCCTCAATCCCTTTATGCGAGATTCCAATATTAATCTGATACTTTAAATCCATATTCTGATCAACAAAGGTTTGGTCAAAACTTCCTTAGATGTTTGGTCCATCGCCTAGCATCATCTCCCACAATAATTCATATTGTTTAATTATCATCCTACGCCTGTTGAAAGATGGATTTCACTAAATGTTTCAGGTCATTATTTTTAACTTTATTTACGTCACCAGTTATGACGTGTCCAGCTATATTATAGCTATAGGGTGAAGAAGAATATTAACACGTTGGAAGATAATATTTCGATTCAGATGTTTTATATTAGGTTTTTTAAAAGTTTTGTTAAACTAAAAAAGTAAGTACAATCGATTGACAATGTAGATTTCTACGAAATACAATTAGTGGATTTCACGTTGAAATATGAGGGAATATAAAATGTATCCTTTTTAAATTAATATAAATATGATTATACATGCATAAATCATTTCGCAATGTACTTGAACTAGCGGGTGCTGATTTTTCCACAAAAGCAGCCTGCATAGAATATACATCTTATATACAGTCAAATACAAAACGTTCACAATACTTGCTTGCTTGTCTATTAATGATTTTTGGAGATTGTTTCTGGTTAATTATCCCCACCTTTTTCATTTATTACCTTTATTTAATAAATTCATAATTCATATTAGTTGTTTAATCTTGATCCCGGTATATAAATCGACATGTCTGAGAAAGCAAGATATTGAAGATGCATGAAATACTAGTATATGAAGGTAACGAACAGCATTCAAGCTCAATAGTTCCATTCAAACAATACATATTAGGAGCAATGCAACCCTCCAAACATGAGGTGGGATCAGGTGCCATGAAGGAGTGAGAATCCCCTGCCGATCGGTCATCCTTGCCATGATCAGAAAAAACCTAAACAATGCATCTTCTACTCATGACAAGGCCAAGGCAGCTTCCTCACTTATCTGAATATTCAACCTAACTGAATTTGAGAAACCGATATATCCAACTGTTCTTCTTACCTTTTGTGAGCTTGTCATATTTTGGAACAACTTCCTTTGTAAATGCGTCAATGATCTCAATCATAAGGGCTTTCCTCTTCTCATCTTGAATTCCGACCAAGAAGTCACGTAAGCGTTCTACTTCAGTCAAATTCCACATAAATTTGTAATTATCGAAGAATCGATGGTGAAAACCCTAAGACAAAAACGCGAAATTCCTTATTACATGTATATGATCAAAAAAGTACACATAGTCTAAAAGTTAGTTAATATCTTTATATAAAATGATTTTTTTAAAGATTCATGATTAATTTTTATATATAATTCTATATTTTTATTCATTATTACTCAAAATAAACTTGTATCTTATTCTACCTCATTATTTTCCCAATGACACAATTCTAATGGAGAAAAAAAGAGAATTTCACAAAAAGGGCCCATTTACTAACAATCCAATGGGTTTTTTTTCTCACTCGGATATAATTTTGTGACAAAAACACAACACATAGAACATTTTATAAAAAATATAAATTTCAAAACGTGTATTCATTGTAAGTATCAATCTAAATGTAGGCCAAAAAAGATAAATCAAGGGTTTGTAGTTGTTGTGTCTGCATATAAATATTTTCATTAGATTTACCTCTAACGAGTGGTGCAGTTTCCCGAGTGATTTACCGATGTTATATAGACTTCTTGGCAATGTTGGTTTTTCAAAGAAGGTTACTCCTGGAACGTATGTCAACAGACGGACGAGGTAAAAATGGTAAGGGGTCGAATCTACAGAAAATATAACATTTGTCAGGCAAAACGAAAACAAATTTTTTTTCTGTCTTGTTCCTCAAATAATACTAAAGCCAATTTTGCTAAGAGTTTTTGTTTTTAATTTATGAAATATGGAGATGACTAACAGTATTCAAGCTTAAAGTCCATTTAATTAAACAATACAAAATCGGGAGCAGACCAAAGACAGATCCTCCAAAACATTAAAGGTGGGATCATGTGCCACGGAGGAGTGAGCATCCCTTGCCGACCGGTCACACCCGCCATGTGCTTCATTTCAGTGGAATTTTTTTCCTTGACTTATTTAAAGAATATTTTAAAGTTTTGTGTGAGTTATTGGTGTGTAAATCACACAGACTTGTTAAGTAGGTATATTTCATGAAGCGCGCTATTTACATTTAACATGTTTACCACCACCACAATATACTCAGTGTTTGAATTTCTCGCAGCCTTATATTGTTGTATTTTTATCAATATCACTGTAGCCTGATTGTGACATCACTTTAGCGCGAGTTTCTCCGTGTATATTTCTTCGCGTACGTATACACAAAAATGGTTTTCAAATCGGCCTATTAGAAAAAAAAAACAGCAAATGTTAATATTTGGCATTAGAACAGACAGAAGAATGACCAAAGTATCACAACCGACTACCAATACATATAGCTAGTATCTAATCTACACAAAACTGCGAGTACCTTGTATGTTTTCTGAATGGTATATCTTTTCTAGTGACATCGTTTCTCCTTTCAAGTTTTTCATGATTTTTGGAATGGACACGCCCTTTTTGGCAATATGTTCCATAAGGGCATGAACAGCCTCTGCAAGAATTAATTGAATAGCATTTTAAGGGTACTTTTTTTGCAATATAGAATAAGCTTAAACCAAATTCTGTAATTTGATAAGATTTCGGCAAAAAATCAACAAAACATGTACCAACAAATATAGGATTCTTGGACTGCATTTTGTTTAGAATTTTCAAGACATAACCATCTGGCAGGGTATGGTTTATATAAGGGTTTTCTGAATGGCCCTTTACAATCACGTGATAGTTTCTGTCGTCATAACTATCCATTTCCTTGCATGACTCCATCGTCAGTCCGTAGAGAGAATAGACCAGGTGGGGGAGATGTTTCATTGGAACAAATGGTTTGATTGTCTCCCCTGCATTTTGCAGCATGTCATTATCCTCACTCATTTGAATTTCAATATGTCTTCTGAAACAAAAAAAATAAATCAAGAAACAAAGAAAAACGCATACTTACTCTAAATGATAATTCAAACAATAAAATATGCCTTTGTTTGTAAGCACTGGAATTAACATTGTTGCATATATATTTCAATATTATTCTTAAATTCTAAGAAACATGACATGACTCAAAAGTCAGATTCGTAAATGAAATGCTTGTTCATAAACTTCTAAAACTAACAGAGACATGAATATGAAATGGACAACCAATTTAAAGTATTATCAATGTTATTCATAAAAGATGTCAACCATGAAACTAAATGGATTTGATCAAAAGATTACATTTATTTTCTTCCAAAATGGATGGTTGTTATTTTAGTGTTCATTCATCTGAACAATGAACACTAAATTTAAATTCCATACACAACACACATAAACATGTAAATACTATATATTCCGTTAATTTTGTCAAAATTGTTGATCAATGTTTAACAATAAAATATAAAAGAGAAGATTGACGATTATTTCATAATTTTCGTTAAAAAACCTTAAAGGGGCATGGACACAGTTTCAGCTGAAATTTCAAATTTTATTTTTCCATTTTTATAAATATTTAACTAGGGTCTTTCTAATGATCATCAAAAACTTGAACGACAGTTGTCGATTTACAGGACATATTAAGAGCTGCAATCATTTGTTATGTAAACAAGGTCCGTGTCCTGTTTTTGTTGACATAGGTTAATATCAGGCTTGGGGTAATGCTAATTTTAATGGTAATGCATTGCAATGCATTACACAAGCTCAAAGTAATGCTAGTAATGTGTAGTTCCCAAAAATTTGCATGACATGTAATGGTAATGTAATGCATTACTTCATAAAATCCAATGTAATACTGGCATTACATAGCATTACAAAGCATTATTTTCAATGTGCCTGTTTTAAGAAATGGATTTTTTAGGTTTTTTTTTAATTTATTATTATTTTTTTTTAATTTAATTTTTTTTTTTTTTTTGCAAAAGATAAAAAAGAATGAAAAAGGTTAATCTTTTTAAATAGAATTTCTGTATCTTTTTAAAAATGCACTTTTTATTCTGTTGAAAGTACACTTACCCTATATTTAAATTTTCAAACTAAGACAAGATTTGATTTCAAAGCATTATTTTAAAAAGTTTTTAAAAATCTTTTTTTTAAAATTGTGAATGAGGTACACTAAATAATGTACAGTGTAAACTGATAATTGACACCTTTTGAATAACTAGAGTGTCATCAAAACACACGTGTATGACTCTGGGTTATGTAACAGTTAAAGCAATGCATTGTTTGGAGAAGTGCTCCAAATTACCAAGCCCTTTCTTCTATTTATAAAACATTAATTGAGCTGCTCTAGCTTGAACTGGCCATGAAAATTCCATTGTACCAAAGAAAAAGAAGACATGCAGACATTCTATGCTTAGCAGTAAATAGCAGAGCAAAATGTACATATTATACTGTCTACCTTTTGAACAAGTTTGTCAATGCATTTATTTTTTTTCATAAGGTACTAGATTAAAATAGCCTATGCTTTATTATATATATTTTGGGCAGGGGTTGAAGTGCCTCAAAAGCTAAATTGCTCTCTGACATCAATAGTTACATGAAATGTGCATATAATTGTACCATGTTTTATATTTCTGATAATTTAAAAGTTTGAACTTCCTATGAATGTAAGTTATTGACAGTGTAATATAAACAAGTACTTGAAATCAAATTTGAATCATCATTTATCATCAATCATGTTTAGTTTTGAAGGGGGTGTATGCATGCTTATGAAAAAAATGGCAAAGTTTTGTGTTTCTATTTTTAAAAACCTTCAAAAGTAATGGTAATGCATTACTTTACTAAAGTAATGGTAATGTAATGCACTAATTTAAGAAAATAGAGTAATGGAAAATTAATGCCCAAATTGTTGAAGTAATGGTAATGTAATGCATTACTTTACAATGTAATTCGCCCCAAGCCTGGTTGATATACTAATATATGTTAGTTCAAAGTAGATGATTTCAGTAAAAAGTTAATTTTAAATATGATTCGACAGTTTCTATTCATTTACTGGATTTCATTTTGTTATAAATGTGATATTTTCTATATGTTAACAAAAACAAGGCACGAGCCTTGTTTACATTATGAAGAACTTAAAGTTCTGTATCTCGTTTGTTAATCAACAAATGATGTTCAAATTTTTGCTAATCATTACATGATGCCTTAGTTAGGAATTGTAAACATTAAAATTGGTTTTAAAAATTCAGTTGAAACTGTGTCCATGCCCCTTTAAGATTGTAGTGAAATAGATATATATGTACTTAAAAAAGAAAACTACATAAAATACCTTTTGGGTGATCAGAAAGCAGCCTTTAAAACTGTAAACAGTTCATATGCCAAAAATAATGTAAACACCCTCCCTTTCCTTGTAGACCTATTATCGATCTAAAAGTGCAACGTATAACACTCTTCTGTATTAATGCGGATTATAAAGTCTATTTTTAGTCAAGGTCCATATGTTGTGGACTAAACAACTGATTATCCCACTGCTTAATATGTTGATTGTCTCTCTGTTAACGCATGTGCTTTAAACGATATCAATAAACTACCTGTCTCTGTTCTATTTCTTTAGCTAATCTAACATGCATATCATTTAAAATCTCAAGAAGATTTTTAAAAAATTAGAATCCAATATTTCAGGTTATAAAAAGTAAAGTCATGAAAAGTTCAAACTTACTCCAGCCGACACAGGTTATGGCTATCTCTTTTGAATGACTACAAAAGGGTCAAAATGTACGGCACAGCAATTCGGCAATAACTACCCGTACGACAGGTAAGTATCTAATTACAAGCTCAACCAAGCCAAACAAAGCATTTAAATTACAAACTCCGGTGTTTTTTGCAGGTCAGGTCACAACATGTTGGGAGTGCATCATTAACTTTTAATAGACATCTACTGTTTAACCTAGCGCACCATTGAGCATAGAGGAATTTTTTCCGTGCCAGCATTTACTGCAATACACAGAACTTCGGTTTTTATGGTTTCATCAAAAAGGACCGGTTTCCACATTCCCCTGTAGGATTCGAACCCGCGACGTAAGGATCAACTCCTTACTCCGCGACTCTAGAGACGCTCTAGCCACCGCGTCACGCGTGCGTCTTGAAATAATGATCACGCGTAATAATAACCCCTTGAAAAAAAGTATATAATTGCTCGTTCTATTTATTTCGATAAAAACAATCCATTTTTACACTCCGTTTATAGTAGACCAATTTTTATTTTCGTACTAATTTCTACAAGGAATGAAATCTGTCATGATTTTCAATTTGTCATTAAAATATATCGACGACTTTTGACCAATTAAAGCTATTCATTTTCATCCCTCACTTTAAATCACAACTGTTTTATGTTATGATGAAACATATGAAGATAACGAACAGTATACAAGATAAAAAAAAAATCCATAAAACAATACAGAATAGGAGCAGACCAAACATGGACATCCAAAACATCTGAGATTTGATCAGGTGCCATGGAGGAGTGAGCATCCCCTGCCGACCGGTCACACCCGCAGTGTGCTCTTGTCGTAATCGGGGTATAACGGAAAATCCGTCGTCAATCCAGTGTTTAAATAATGGACTTACAATTAGTATGAAAAAAAATCAGTCAGCATTGGACTAAATAATAAATTGTGTTTGCTGACAAGGTCATTGTATCGACTATAGAACTTACGAAATGATGACTTTGAACGAGACTGCTGATATTATTATTGTTTCATCAACCTGTTTGTCAGTAATTTACCTCATTTTAGAAATTGTTCATACGTAGAGCATGTTCTTGCATTTCGAATCAGCTGAGATATATAAATTCCGTGTGCAGGTAATTTTTTTTTAACCCACCCTTTTTTGATGACAGGCATATCAGTGCCTGCTTTATGATATATGTAATTTTAGGGGGTCAGATTGCATAATATGTTACCAAAGATTTTTGTATTCTTTCGAAGTTTATAATATGTTTATATTTTGTTTTGCGTCATTTACTTCAATAAATGACAATTTTTCACTTTCACTACTGTTATTTTAATTTTAATCCATCAAAAACTAGCTCAGTTGACTTGGCTTCGGTCTTGTATAATAACAGAGGAACATAAATAAGTTATTATTATTACAATAATAATATCCTTTATGTGACAGAGTTATATTAACTATAATTGTTTTATTTGTTATAATTTATTTCTGAGGTATATATTTGGTAATTGTAAAGTTGTTTCATGTTTAAAACTATTTAGAAAATTACCTAATTTTTTATTGCAATTTACAGCCAATCAGCGTGGCTTCTCTAATCATGTGACCATTGTTTTATTTTTTACCAAAGGAGAAAGCCACACAAATTTACAAGGAAATTTTTTTATCTTCCATTTTCTTCCACCGTCTTATATTATATTTGTTATATATGTACTTATATTAGTGTTCATATTTATTTGTTTGGCGTTTATTTTCTTTTAACCCACCCTTTTTTGATGACAGGCATATCAGTGCCTGCTTTATGATATATGTAATTTTAGGGGGTCAGATTGCATAATATGTTACCAAAGATTTTTGTATTCTTTCAAAGTTTGTTGGAAGTCTTGTCTCCCCCTTATAATATGTTTATATTTTGTTTTGCAATCATTTACTTCAATAAATCTTTTTGCTTTCACTACTGTTGTTATTTTAATTTTAATCCATCAAAAAACTAGCTCAACTTGGCTTTTTTAAAAAAACATAATATATTTTAAGTAAGGCAATTTGAAAAGTTAAAGTCATCACATTTATCATAGACCTTGTTAGATTACCACTAACGTCTATTTCGAGTTTAATATGCAAATAGGGAACAGATGTTTCAGACTCTGTAGTTTCTTTCATCTCAAGCTCTTTGGGATATATCGTATCGACATAAGAATGGAAAATATCATTGTTTATTGCAATACGTCGTCGATATATCTAAATGTCGACATGTTGAAGGCCACGGCAAGTGGTTTTTTCTTATTTGATTTCAAATTCTGCTTCATTTTTTAGGTCTGCTAATAACGGGGTGCATTTGGTACCCATGGGAATTCCAATAGATTGTTGGAAGACCTGGTCTCCAAAAACAACATAAATATTGTCAATCAGAAACTCAAGCATCTTTTTGCTGTTCAGAGTATTTGTGTATACAAAAAGAATGTTTTTTCAACAAAATAATTTTGCAAATTGTCAGTGAATTTTACCGTTTGCCCGATATTGACGAAGATTAAAATTCATCTTTAACCTATCTACAGAGAATGCTTACTGCTTCATGACACCCTATCTCATATTTGATTACATGTATTATTAAAGGTACATGTGATTGCTTATTTGATTTCAATTATTTTTTTTTATCTAGTTGGTTTTTGACCTTAATTACCGTTCGCCATCTTCTTTTGCAAGATGTAAAGTTTACTCTGATGTGGTAGAGGATAGCGAAGCAAAATGTTAATATTTATGTGTTTTATTAAGTGGTTTATATGTGGTATATGGTACGGGAATTTTTAAGATGGAAATCTTTAAATTTTGTTCCCAGAACTCCTCTTAGTCATGTCAATGCCATATTTTGAAATATGATTGTTGGTGTTCAGTTGATTACAATAAGGAATAGGAAATTTCTTTTTCAAGGTTACCCAAGGTCAAAAACGACACTTTTGTTAACAAAATATAGTTCCCAGAATGAATTTAATTTACATTAAACACATTATTCAAATCAATTTCTGGAATAAAGTGACTGTATGTAATAAGGATTCTGAATTCTTAATTTTAAAAAAAAATATTTTCTCTTTTCCTTCTTTTTTGAAAATGCTTATTCCAAGACCTACTTTTAACAATTTATGAATTACTGAGTATCTAGCTCATCTTCAAGACTGTAATTGCTGCAGACTTGTGTATTTGCAGCAAGGTTTTGTATTTTTTTTGGGGGGGGGAGTCAGTTGGTGGCTGGAAAATTTTTCAGAAAAATCATTGATCCCTGAATTAATTCCTCTTACACTTTACACCAAAGCCAAATAATTCTTCATGATATGTATGACAAAGGTGTGATGAGATTACATGCGTAATTAAATGCATAATTTAAGCTGTGATGAGTTCTAGAGTCATATTATATAGGACAGACTTTAACCTTTAATGGTCCCTTAAAGTAAAATAAAGTTTAGAAAACTTATTGTCGTATCATAGAACGGACACCACAATTTAAATTCATTAGAAATATATTTTGACATTTTAAATTTCTACTAAATTATCATCCGCTTTTAAATTTATTTCTATCAGCTCAATTAGCGTACTAGTATATTTATTCAAAGAGAATATTTTATCGAAGTAAGTTTACAATGCAGCACAATTAAAATCATTTAGTAAGGGTTAAGGAGAAAAGTATACGTAGATCCAATGCCTATGTACATTCAGCAAAAATAATTTTAAATTATTTATGAATAAATCTACCTATTCATCTGCAATGAATGGTTAATTGAGTCTTCGGGACACAATGATTGAGAAACTTGACCTTCATTTATGACACTTCTGAATTCAATTAAATTAAAACTTTTTACCTGATTGAATTTAGTCCATGGAACCCTTGTATACATGGATATAAACTCCCAAATTCCATGTTTGAGAAACTGTGGTCAATTTGAGATGCTGAATTCAATGTGTGGGGCTCATGAACTCAAAATCAATATTCTACATGAATCTAATATTTGTAATTTTTATATTGATTCAAAAAGATTCTTTTTTATTATAATAGTACCTTATTTTGTAATTTACATTCAAAATTTGTTTATTGTTGTTGTTGAAAATTGTTTTGTAATTGAATATCAGGACAAATTGAAGGAGTTTCGATATGACAGGACATACCTTTAGGAAGCAATACATGTATGAGGCATAACCAATCAGAAATTTTTTACCGATTAAGAAGATGTAATTAGAGAGGAACACTATGATGAGTTACTATAAGTTTTCGTCTATAGAATGATATTTAATAAGACCGCGCATGCGAAAAAGAAGAAGGTACGGTTTGGGCTTTATTGTGCCCTAAAAATTTAATGTTCTTTAAAAAGTTGTGAAATTGGCTTTAACAAGAGTTGAGTAGATGAATATGATAAATCACGAAAAAAAATATGGCATGGAAGAGGACCATTCTGGAAATATGACGTCATTAATTTGGTACATTTCTAAGTTTAATGGAGAAAAGCCTCAGAAAGACTCATTTCTGTGCTTATTTTCCTTTAGAAAAATAGTGTCTGCCACCGTCGCGCACTTCAGTTTTTGGATATATTGTGTAAACTGTTTTTAAAAATCACATATCTCAAAATCTTTGTGGGCGACGGTTGCAGAGTATGTTTTCTGAAAGAAAATTACACTGAAAATTGATGTCTTCTGCAACTTTTTAAGAAAATACGGGAAAATGCACAAGTTATAGCGAATTACGAAATACCGATTAAGTTTTTAATAGTTTGCTGGATAGCTCAATAAGGTATTTAATTTGGTATAGCAAGTATCACATTAGATTTGAATCTAGGTCACAATAGTTACTCCGGTGAATCATTACATTTTACAGGTAAATGTGAGTTGCTTTCAATGTATTATGAAGCCACTTGTATGTGCCAAAGTGCTCTGCTGTAGAAAAAACAAACAATATTTTTCTTAAATTGCAAATATTTTTTTCAGTAAATTTTGTATTTAAACTCTTTCAGTGATGCATAAATCTTCTGCATAAACTATTTTTTCTAGTTGCTTCAAAGTCTTG